TTTGGAATTTCAACCGAAGATGAAGAACTGAATCTTCCATCACTGTATTGGATACTTAAACTACATACTTGTCCTTACAAACAACGTTAAATTGCTGAGTCTTCCAAGTGCTCCACGAAACCTCTTTCTAAATTATTAACATCAATTGTATCAGCAATCAAAACCGGGCTTCAAAATCATTGCATTTTAATATATCGTTGATAACAGGCTGATGAAGGTAAATACGCATTAAATTTATAACGTTTTGTTTTCGTGTTATATTTTATACTGCATCTGAAGTAAAAATGCAAAACAAACTTTTCCTGCACGCATATTCATATTTCACATATAAACTGTGCTAAAATATCCCCATTTAATTTGAAATTAATTCTCAAATAATCCTTCATTATTTCATATCAATGCATTTTAATTTGTAACTTCGTTTGTTCATCCATCACAATTAAAACACTTCCTAACTCAAGAATGTTAGATATTCTGTCGAAGCGTGCTTATATTTCCCATCACATGTGATGTGTAGTGTATTGAATTTGCATTTGATGCCGGTCACCATGCATCTTTCTCCAAAGTTCTCTTAAAAACGAATTTCCACTCTTTCAGATTTAATATTCAAGTATTAAATAGAAATCATGAACAAACTATAATTTCGGAAATGGTGTTTAATATTCTACACCCTCAAATGCATCAAAACCATGAAAACGAAATAAATCCATTATTCTTTATCTTCTTCACTTCATGACAACAGATTCAACTTTATAAATATAATAATCAGGAATTCATATGAAAAATACAAACGTAAGAATCGTATAATTTCCGTATTATATCGTTATGTTTATGTAAACACGGACCTCGACGATCGAAGACACTTAGAGCAACATTCATTATGAACTTGAAATTCGATTTTAACGACTTTTTAAACGAAACTTCACTACATTATAATAGGTAAAGAAAACAAAGTATTAATAAGACTTACCTTTATAGCCTTTGCTAGTTAGCTTTTCCTGAAAATGAGGTTAAGCGTTTCGGTTTTTTAGGATCTTTCATATACATTGCCTGGTTTTTTTCTAGCGAGTGCTGTAGGTGATATCAAACCGCAAACTGGAATACTACCGCACAAAAAAAACTAGTTTACCAATAAAATATAAATGGTATATACGATATTTTGAAACCGAATCCCCATTCACATGAGTTGATTTGCACACGTATGCTAATATACATAGTATGTAGAACTACATATAAGCTGTATGCCTGCAGAAATAGATTATGTGAACGAAAAGAAAATAAAAATGTATGCAAATTTACAGTGAATGTGAATTTGCATGACAGAACCCGTTGATATAAAAGAATGAAGGATCTCAATATTGACGACTCCAAGTCTAAACCTCCTGATTGCACCTGTGCTAGTTCCCCATTCATATATAATCCGGCTGGTCAAGTTATTACTGGTGCCCTAAATATTGTCAACAACACTTCTCTGCGAAAGGTGTCACCACAGGCCCGAAATATTGTGAGCCTAAATCCATCAATTGGAAACACAACTTCAAAATACTGATGGATTCAGTCGAGGATTATGCCAGGCAACTGGTTAAACGCGAGAAAGAAGACGTAGATACTCTTTCCTAATGGATTAAGGCTGTGAGGTCGTTGATTCAAATCAGAATTTAAAAACTGAATGGGTCTATCAATACCTATGCTACATCAATCTTTTAAGACCCAAATGTTGCAAAACACTTGTCCTACCTCCAGATAAAGCCGCAAACAACATCGTTTTTGTGTATAAATCAGATTACATAAACTGCTTAATAAATGAATTAGGTATTGACAATTCACTTTGAAACTCAACATATACGCCCACGGCACTTACCAAAGAGAAAATCCTGGATAATCATAGGTCTGTTCTATGTTCCTTTGGAATTTCAACCGAAGATGAAGAACTGAATCTTCCATCACTGTATTGGATACTTAAACTACATACTTGTCCTTACAAACAACGTTAAATTGCTGAGTCTTCCAAGTGCTCCACGAAACCTCTTTCTAAATTATTAACATCAATTGTATCAGCAATCAAAACCGGGCTTCAAAATCATTGCATTTTAATATATCGTTGATAACAGGCTGATGAAGGTAAATACGCATTAAATTTATAACGTTTTGTTTTCGTGTTATATTTTATACTGCATCTGAAGTAAAAATGCAAAACAAACTTTTCCTGCACGCATATTCATATTTCACATATAAACTGTGCTAAAATATCCCCATTTAATTTGAAATTAATTCTCAAATAATCCTTCATTATTTCATATCAATGCATTTTAATTTGTAACTTCGTTTGTTCATCCATCACAATTAAAACACTTCCTAACTCAAGAATGTTAGATATTCTGTCGAAGCGTGCTTATATTTCCCATCACATGTGATGTGTAGTGTATTGAATTTGCATTTGATGCCGGTCACCATGCATCTTTCTCCAAAGTTCTCTTAAAAACGAATTTCCACTCTTTCAGATTTAATATTCAAGTATTAAATAGAAATCATGAACAAACTATAATTTCGGAAATGGTGTTTAATATTCTACACCCTCAAATGCATCAAAACCATGAAAACGAAATAAATCCATTATTCTTTATCTTCTTCACTTCATGACAACAGATTCAACTTTATAAATATAATAATCAGGAATTCATATGAAAAATACAAACGTAAGAATCGTATAATTTCCGTATTATATCGTTATGTTTATGTAAACACGGACCTCGACGATCGAAGACACTTAGAGCAACATTCATTATGAACTTGAAATTCGATTTTAACGACTTTTTAAACGAAACTTCACTACATTATAATAGGTAAAGAAAACAAAGTATTAATAAGACTTACCTTTATAGCCTTTGCTAGTTAGCTTTTCCTGAAAATGAGGTTAAGCGTTTCGGTTTTTTAGGATCTTTCATATACATTGCCTGGTTTTTTTCTAGCGAGTGCTGTAGGTGATATCAAACCGCAAACTGGAATACTACCGCACAAAAAAAACTAGTTTACCAATAAAATATAAATGGTATATACGATATTTTGAAACCGAATCCCCATTCACATGAGTTGATTTGCACACGTATGCTAATATACATAGTATGTAGAACTACATATAAGCTGTATGCCTGCAGAAATAGATTATGTGAACGAAAAGAAAATAAAAATGTATGCAAATTTACAGTGAATGTGAATTTGCATGACAGAACCCGTTGATATAAAAGAATGAAGGATCTCAATGTTGACGACTCCAAGTCTAAACCTCCTGATTGCACCTGTGCTAGTTCCCCATTCATATATAATCCGGCTGGTCAAGTTATTACTGGTGCCCTAAATATTGTCAACAACACTTTTCTGCGAAAGGTGTCACCACAGGCCCGAAATATTGTGAGCCTAAATCCATCAATTGGAAACACAACTTCAAAATACTGATGGATTCAGTCGAGGATTATGCCAGGCAACTGGTTAAACGCGAGAAAGAAGACGTAGATACTCTTTCCTAATGGATTAAGGCTGTGAGGTCGTTGATTCAAATCAGAATTTAAAAACTGAATGGGTCTATCAATACCTATGCTACATCAATCTTTTAAGACCCAAATGTTGCAAAACACTTGTCCTACCTCCAGATAAAGCCGCAAACAACATCGTTTTTGTGTATAAATCAGATTACATAAACTGCTTAATAAATGAATTAGGTATTGACAATTCACTTTGAAACTCAACATATACGCCCACGGCACTTACCAAAGAGAAAATCCTGGATAATCATAGGTCTGTTCTATGTTCCTTTGGAATTTCAACCGAAGATGAAGAACTGAATCTTCCATCACTGTATTGGATACTTAAACTACATACTTGTCCTTACAAACAACGTTAAATTGCTGAGTCTTCCAAGTGCTCCACGAAACCTCTTTCTAAATTATTAACATCAATTGTATCAGCAATCAAAACCGGGCTTCAAAATCATTGCATTTTAATATATCGTTGATAACAGGCTGATGAAGGTAAATACGCATTAAATTTATAACGTTTTGTTTTCGTGTTATATTTTATACTGCATCTGAAGTAAAAATGCAAAACAAACTTTTCCTGCACGCATATTCATATTTCACATATAAACTGTGCTAAAATATCCCCATTTAATTTGAAATTAATTCTCAAATAATCCTTCATTATTTCATATCAATGCATTTTAATTTGTAACTTCGTTTGTTCATCCATCACAATTAAAACACTTCCTAACTCAAGAATGTTAGATATTCTGTCGAAGCGTGCTTATATTTCCCATCACATGTGATGTGTAGTGTATTGAATTTGCATTTGATGCCGGTCACCATGCATCTTTCTCCAAAGTTCTCTTAAAAACGAATTTCCACTCTTTCAGATTTAATATTCAAGTATTAAATAGAAATCATGAACAAACTATAATTTCGGAAATGGTGTTTAATATTCTACACCCTCAAATGCATCAAAACCATGAAAACGAAATAAATCCATTATTCTTTATCTTCTTCACTTCATGACAACAGATTCAACTTTATAAATATAATAATCAGGAATTCATATGAAAAATACAAACGTAAGAATCGTATAATTTCCGTATTATATCGTTATGTTTATGTAAACACGGACCTCGACGATCGAAGACACTTAGAGCAACATTCATTATGAACTTGAAATTCGATTTTAACGACTTTTTAAACGAAACTTCACTACATTATAATAGGTAAAGAAAACAAAGTATTAATAAGACTTACCTTTATAGCCTTTGCTAGTTAGCTTTTCCTGAAAATGAGGTTAAGCGTTTCGGTTTTTTAGGATCTTTCATATACATTGCCTGGTTTTTTTCTAGCGAGTGCTGTAGGTGATATCAAACCGCAAACTGGAATACTACCGCACAAAAAAACTAGTAAATAACATGCTGATTGCAGTGATGTCGAATGCACATTTCTCACATGTGATTTACCAAATTGCAAACGATTAGTTATGTGTGATACACGATAGGAGGAACTAAATTGCACTCGAAAGCTCAGCTTTCTCGTGCAATTTAATCCCTTCCTCTCTATCTACACATAGCCAAACATTTGGTAACTAGAACATGGACTCAACTTAAAAATTGACACACATAGTTATTTTTCATATCAAAAGAAAATCAAAGCGCAACAATGTAAATTCAATGTGAAATAAAGAACGGAATGCGTAATGATTTAGTATTTCAATTCTAAGGCACTTTCTGCCGATCCAAATACCTCACTAAGTATTCACTGTTTTACTTACAATTATATAAATATGAATAACACACTGTATAATTGCTGCCATGTCGATAATTCGATTCTTATTTTTTGGGGACCCCGCATATGTTACAAACTATTATATTTATTTCTTTATAGAGATACACATTGTTTCACTTATTTCTTTAAACGGGGCGTTCGATATCTGTTTTTATTCATTTCAATATCATCATTGAAAACATTAGCTAGGTTTACCTCCATGTGGAAAAAAACTGAGAAAAACTATCCTCTTAAAGCTTGAGTTACCTTGTGATGCCCTTTTTATATTGAAAGAAATTTCAATTTCCTGTAAATACTTTTGTGTTGATATCAAATCTTTGTTAAACTTGTATACAACATGTCTAAACTCGGAGCAGTGTATAGCACGACAGCTGTCTACTGTAGATGTCTTTAACGCTCTTTATTTTTTTGGGTACCTTCAAATTAACATATGTCCAGTGTCGACACTTTTATAAATTATTGGAATCAACTAAACAACATACAAGACTGCATGACCATTTTGAAAAAAAAAATTCTCCTTTGTGGAACCTAAATAGAAAGTAAAAGTATCAAAGTACATTCATTGAAAAAAAATTGCATTTGAGCCCTATATTGTTTTACTCATTACAAATGCTTAATCGATAGGTTATCCGTGTCATATTTTTAAGAAATGTGCACTTTCTTCGCTTATTGACACTAAAAAGAAACATTATATACAATATATGTACAACAAATATTTTATGACATAAAATAAAATATCACAGTTTACCCTGTTAAAACAGGAACGCAAGAAACGAATACATATTTTTTTTTTTATTATGTTATGTATTGATATAAATACAAGTTATTATTAGACCTGTGTATATGGATAAAATATTTACACTATAACTGTTATTCTGTTATTATACTTCAACAGCACGGAATGAGAATTCTGCTGGAGCCAACGTAATGCCTAGTTTTCCTTTTAATGAAGGCAAATTATTTGGATCTGATGGAAGAAGCTTGAATCTTTGCACAAGCGAAGTGGTAAACAGGAAAAACTCCATTCTAGCTAATGACTCGCCAAGACATACTCTTCGTCCTAAAACACAACATTTTGTAATATTTATAGCAACAGCAGCAATGACTATATAATATTTTTTCGTTCGGGTTTTTGTCATTGACGTAAACATTACATCTTCTTTTATTCATTTTGAACCAAAAAAAAAAGATGTTAAGCAACAAGATAAAATCTTCATAAAATAACAGATACAAAAAATAACGTTTTTAAAGCAAGACAAACTTGTAAAACATTCCTCCATTCAAGGAAGTAAGTCATCGTCTTTCGATTAAATTTCAAGTGAAATCACTTAAATATCTTACACTAGTGCGAAATATAGTTTATCTATTTACGTGGCTTAGTCTTTTTAAAGTCATCTGATACTTGTCGTTATAATGTTGATGTTTTTCACATATTTTACTGGCGTTGTGTTGGCTAAGTGCATAGTTCATCATGACTTGACGTTAAACAATAATCAACAAAACAATAAATTTTACTCATGGTTCAGATATCATTGCACATAAATAATGTTTTCAAATATCCTCATCAGGTAAGCCGGAAATCCAAAATTGACAAATCAACTTAATTAAATATTTCTGGGTATCCAAAACAGAAATAGGAAAGACATCTAACACACTATTTCCCCCCCCCCCCCCCCCTTTATAATTCATGCATTCTTAAACTGTATTTCTTCACATTTATTTGAAAAAATAAGACCAAATTAAACCCAAGTGCAGACACTATTTGAAACGACACTTGCAGGACCCCCTCCGAAAGCCATCGTAATAGTGGAAACAGTCTTATGTAGACTTGGAATGTTTTATTTGCCTAAAAATTATAGCATGCACTTTGTAAAGAATGTCTCTTTTTGTTTTCTTTGTTTTAAAAATTTTCATCAACTATCACAAGTATAGATTATGAACTTAGCCATTCTATTCTTATGCGTACAGATAGATAATTACCAAGACTGAATGTTAAAACTTTGTCTACATTCACAAGCTTTCTTTCTGCATCCAAGAACCTTGTAGGTCTAAACGTTTCTGGATCTTCAAATACTTCAGGATCGTACAAAACAGAATGTAAATTAGGTATTAGCATGGAGTCTTTTGGAATAACGTATCCTTTGTAATTGAGATCTTGTGTTAAACCATGTGGAAGAGCAAGAGGGCCAATACATCCAAATCTCAGAACTTCGTGTAAAACTGCATCCGTATAGGGTAGTTTTTGCCTTTCCTCCATGCATGGATATCTAGATGTTCCAATGACGTCATTGATTTCTCTTCGCATTAAATTTTGAACTTCTGGGTGATTTACTAACAAAACTATAAACCACTGCACAGCAGTTGATGGTGTTTCAGTTCCTGCTGTAAACAAGTCTAATATTGTTTTTAGAAGTTGCTCATCTGAAAAATTAATTGGAAGCATTGTAATTTTTTATATAACTTCAATAATCCACATTTTAATCGTCAGACCATGACACTTTTTTTAGCTGTTATCGGTAAGTAATGAAAAAAAACTACTTATCTTAATTTTATTTTGAAACTTATAGAATAAAAACAAAAAAAAAACCTGAAAAATAAGAAAACCGTTTGAGTTCTAGAAATCTTCAACAATAACCTATCAAAATTCCGAATTTCATACGTGAATTTATATCCCCTATTTTTATAATTGTTATATGAACTCTTTGTGTCAATAAATAAAAATGTTGCCCATAAGGAATCTATCTCAAATATGTTTTCCAAATCGAACCTTTATATAAGGATCTGGAGGTACAGACCGCAGCACCTATTCAAATGTCCGTAGCAGTACCATAAACTCAAATACAAACGAAAGACCGTTTACCAAGATGACCTTCATTCATATTTGAATTATGTTGTTTACGATTATGAATTAAAATTTGACCAATTGTGGTCACGGTTACTATATATTTGAATGTACTTTTTTCGATCAAAAACGTCAAGAGTATTTATCCTCCTATGTTGTACAACAACATGATACAGTTAAATTCTCTGAACTTATGTCGAGTACACGAAAACCAGTCCTGAAGAAGCTTTGTTCATTTATAAAAAATATTAATACTTGTGTTTGTCCTCCTGGTTAGTGACTTTTGTAACCTCTCTCTCTTGTTTTGTATATTGTAAATAGTTATTGTTGTTATCTCTGTACTGATGTCATGCATTGGCTTTATGAGAATAAAGATATATATATATGGTCAATTTAATCACTCAATTACCTTTAAGGTTCTTCGGAAAGATTTTTTTTTCGTGACAACTTTTTAATCATTCAAGTAAAAATTATCAAATGAATTCGAGAATACACTGAAAAATAAGTATTTTAATTATATATTTTATTTTTTATGAATTCATTTTTGAAGATTAATAGAACTCAAAAGCCAACATAGAAGAGATGTGCTTACACAACCATTTTGGTAAACAATGGAGTTTACAATTGTGATATAAAGTAATAGCACAAAATAAGAAGTGAACAAGGTTTTGTACTGTACCTTTCTTGGAAACTTCCAGTTATCTTTATTTCCAATAAATAGTAACAAAGTGATATTTTGTTCAATATGAACTTCATGTCAATCACTTAATCCTACAATCAGTGAACTATTGTTCATAACATACCAAAAAAAAAGATTTTCCCAATATAAACAACAGGTGCAAAAATAGTTTTTTGCTATATATATGGTTGACTTCTATAAAATTAAAGGGAGGGTTAGGGAGTTAAAACAATAAATGCTACAACCTCAATGTTATATTGTTGGATAAAAAACAATATGCGTTCTTTTAGGGGCGGAAAATTATTTTTATTGTTATGGTAAAACTTTAATGGCTATTATTGTAACATTTTACAGCTGCTGTATAAAACAATTTTAGATCAAAGTTAGAAAAAATATCAACTTTTTAAAATCAGCCCGAAAGTGTTAAGGGAATCGAAAGGTCATCTTTGCCCAGTTACTAAGTTTTGATATATTTTTTACATTGACCTAATATTGTATAGTTAGTATTCATTTGGTGTGAAAACCAAAGCACATTGTGACCATAAACTTACAATCAAACGTAGATTCTGTATTTCCTTTCTCTGATTTCATTCTTTTCAAGTAAATATCAATATAATCTCGTATATTATTTGCATCAAAGGTCTCTTCGTGTTCATTTATGATAGGTGTTATATGTTTTTCCAAGTGATCGATGTTACGAAGAGTATGTTTTATACCAAAAGGATCACAGGGAACATATCTGAGAAAAGGAAAAATTGTAGCCAAGAACAATGCATTGCCGTTGCTCAGGTTCTCATTAATCTTTTCCAAAAGTGACATAAAAAACTTGTCAGTGAGTTCATAACGCTTTCCAAAGGTTATTGAACACATTATATTAGAAACACATAAAGTCAAAAGTCCTTTGATTTTGAACGGTGTTCCATTTTGTTCTTCAATGACCCTCATCAAAACTTCAATCTCTTCCTTTATTTTTGATTCCTGACTCCTTTTACCAAACCCAAACTCGCGTAGCGCTCCTATTGTAAAAGTTCTATGTTCTTTCCATAGGGAACCAGACGAACTTCCAATGCCTGAATTAAAATGAATTTTTAATCATAAATAGTTCATGCAAAATATACCTGACAAGAAAATATATGTTGTAATGTTCATTAGTTTTCCCGTCTCTGTCAGTTTACGTCATTGACTTTTGATATATCTACAATATGTGATTTCCTTAATTGATAACTATTATTGGTTATATAGCTAGGGTTAGAGTAAACACATCTATTTTCATGTTCCGTATCATACAAAGGACAGGGTATTTTAAGATACTTTTTTAGCCCTTGTAACTCGAAACTTATAAAAAGTATTATATAAACATCTACCAAAATAACATTCATCATCTGTTAATAATAAATTAATATCCATCAGATATTTATAATTTTCAGGTTTGTCTGATATAGTTGTCTCCATGCTTCAAACGTCTTGCATTTATTCTTTATTACTAACAAACTGCCAAATTAGCTACATTTTGAGACTTTTGTATTTTATTATTAAGTTTTTACTCAAAAAGTGTTTATACCAAAAAAGACAAAAGATACCAAGGGGACATTCAAAACTCATAATTCGAGAAAAAATTACAACGACATAACAAAAAAAGAGAAAACCAAAGGTCAACAAGTTCACAAAACACTACATAACAAACTTAAGACTGAGCAGCATGAACTCCAACAAAAACTGGGGTGAACTTAGGTGCTCCAGAAGGGTAATCAGATCCACTTCCACATGTAACACATAGTAATTACAAAGTCGGCGATGAGTCTAATTGGGTGATGTCACAATCGAGGAAAAAAGAACGGGATTGTGGTTGGAATGGTAAAATATTCGTGGTTATCTCCAACTCATGATTGCGTCCGTAAATTTTTAGAAGGGATTACTTTAATATTACTGCTTGGAACCCTTGGTTCAAAAGCTTCCTTGTAAGCAGTAACCTCTTTCATGGGAATCATGATAGGAACGCAAGCTCTGGAATATCGTACCATTTTGTGATATTTACTCCTTATGCAGTCCCTGCTTGAATGTTGCTACACAGAAATTGAAAGTTCACATTTCGAAAGCAGAGATCATCCCATTTTGTAACGTCATTTTCAATTCCTAGATGTATGTCATGACATGAGACGGACGTAACTGTATCTGTGGTATCTTTTTTAAATTTGAATCAAGTTAGATGGGATACATGCATTCAACAAAGACACCAAACTTTGAATTATCAAGAGAGGTGACATCATCTATATAGCGGTCATGATCATACAAAGATTTCAATGTGTGTAAACTATTTTTTGTGGTAGGACTTTGCCAATATCTACCTTGTCCAAAAAGGGGTCAAATATGTCAATTTCGCCATGTGTTTGACAACAATTAACATTATTACAAGTGAATTTTCTGCACTAAAGTGTCCAGATTATAGCAACAGGTCAATTTATCAATTACGTTTGTTTTGGTTATCTTTTTTGATTTAAACAGTTATGTTAAACAGTTGATTTTTACGAAAGACAAATAAGAATATATGGGTCATTCTTAGAAAACATGCAATTTCATTGGAAAGAGAAAACAATTCCGGCTCAACAATTTTTCCTGCTCATTACGTGTATGTAGAAATCTGATTGCAAACATCATAGGCCAGGAGAACGAGATTGCATTATATCCGTGAACATATTAGACACAGATTATCAATAACTCGTGCAGTAAGTGGACTGTTATCAATGTCATTATGTCATCAAGTTTATCAATGTCATTTAACTTATTAATCATTAGGAATCATTTGTTAGTAACTTCCTTTTAGTTAAACTCTGTTTAGAAAAAATATAAAAAGGGGAAATTATTTGACGTCTCGTAGTAAAGTAAAAGTGCTAACTCGGTTTCACAAAATCAGAATCTAGCCCAGAGTGTTATCGTCTTCTTACCTTTATAATGACCAATATCTTTCACAATAAAGCTATCAGGACGGTCTGACGTTACATCTCCATTTGTTATGAAAACATTTTTGAGTGCCTCTAATCCATTAACTACGACCATTGTTTTTGATCCTAATATTAAACTAAACACATCGCCATACTTTAGTCTGTATTGCCTGAAAGCATCTAGTAAATTGGCAAGATCCATGTTTAAGTTCCCAAGAAAGGGTGTTGTCGGTGGTCCCGGTGGCAGTTTGGCATTTCTTGCTGTTTTGTTCCAAAGAATGTAGAGACCAAGTCCACAAAAGATTAGAACCAATGTCAACAAGTCAATCATTGTCACGATCTATAAGCTAGTGCTTTCGTATTATCGTCGTATATATTTGAAACAGTTAAATAAATGACGAACAACTCATGTGTTGTTACAAACATTCATTTAAAATGACGAAATATCAGTTTTAAAACGTTACCAAATCAGACAATTGTTATTGACTAGTTAGTATAGTTCTTAAAATAGATTACTGCATATACAAGATATATGAGTGTCCTAAAATGAGTTTACCTGGACGGTTGTATGTTAACATTACATGCATGTATTCCTATATTTATTGTGTAATAAGATTGTGTGATGAAATTCCATGTTTGCTATACCAAGCTCACTATAACGCACATTATGACAATACCGCATAACTATTCAGAATGATTTTTATGTATCAGAGAATTATTTGTAGACAAATACAAGATATATGAGTGTCCTAAAATGAGTTTACCTGGACGGTTGTATGTTAACATTACATGCATGTATTCCTATATTTATTGTGTAATAAGATTGTGTGATGAAATTCCATGTTTGCTATACCAAGCTCACTCAAACGCACATTATGACAATACCGCATAACTATTCAGAATGATTTTTATGTATCAGAGAATTATTTGTAGACAAATTAACGCCTTAAAATGGCGAAATTGCGGCATAAAATCAACAATTTAATTGACATTTGAAACCCAAGCTTTCCAATGCTTTAAGTACGTGAATGAGAGACCATGAACTATGCCAGTACAAATATATATGTTTTTGTAATTCCATAGTAAAAAGTTTGGTTGAATATTGCTTGGTCATGAAACTGGTAATGAACTCAAGTGCTTTAAAAAAGATAAAAACATTTTCTGTTCCAGTAGTGAATTTAACAAACACAATACATCATTAAAAATTATGCCAGTACCACTGAGTACTAATAGTACTAGAACAACATATTTGTTACGTTTGGAGGACGTGTTTTCAACAAACAATCGGCATTCCCATGGGAACCAACTGTACTCCCCTTCTTCCTGAATTTTTCCTTTATTCATATGAGGCTAACTTCATACAAGAGCTTCTTAGGAAGAAAGAAAATAAGTTAGTATTATACTTCAACTTCACTTTCCGATCTATAGATGATGTTCTCTCACTAAATAATTCAAAGTTTGGTGACTATGTTGAACGCATCTATCCCATCGAACTTGAGATACAAGATACAATAGATACACTTAAGTCTGACTCATATCATGACTTACATCTAGAAATTGACAATGATGGTCGGTTGAAAACAAAATTTAATGACAAAAGAGATGATTTCAGCTTAACAACTGTGAACTTTTCATTTCTAGGTAGCAATTTTCCAGCAGCGCCTGCATACAAAGTATATACATCCCAGTTGATACGCTATTCCACGGCTTGTATTTCCTATCATGATTGCCTTAGTAGAGTGTTGTTGCTCACAGGAAAGCTTTTTAACCAAGAGTTCCAAGTGGTGAAGTTGAAATCATCCCTTCGTAAATTTTACGGACGCCATCACGAGTTGGTTGACCGTTATGAAATATCTGTTTCACAGATGACGACGGATATGTTTCAATTGTCTTCACCACAATCCCGTCCTCTTTTCCCCGAATGTGACCAACCGAATTAGACATATCGCCGGGTTTGTTCTTACATGAGCAATACGACGGGTGCCACATATGGAGCAGGATATTCTAACCCTTCCGAAGCACCTTAGATCACCCCCGGTTTCATGTGGGGTTCGTGTTGCTTAGTCTAGTTTTTGGTGTTGTATTTTGTTTACTGTTATTTGTCTTTTGTTTTGTTTTTTTTGTTTTTTTGCCATGTTTATTTTCTACTTTTAATGTCCCTTTGGTATATTTCGCCTCTCTTGTAAAGTATTTACATTGAAAACTGACAAAATGCTATGTTCTCATGAGACACGCGTTGAGCGTTTAACATGAACGTAAAATATTTTTCGTAAATATAAGAATTGTTTATATTTCAACTACGGTTGCAACTCGATTATGATAGTTCCGTATTATTTTGCGGATTAAGCTTTCAAAAAGATTTTATATTTTTTTTTCATTGAACCATTTGGTGTCCATTTGGGAATTTTGGGTTCTCAATGCTCTTCAACGTTATACTTTATTTTGCCTTTTTAACTTTTTTTATTCAAGCGTCCCTGGCAAGTCTTTCGTAGAAGAAACGCGCGTTTGGCATAATTTGTTTTTAGCATGATATCTATAATGAGTTTATTGTATTAACTGAAGCTACTGCACTCCAAAACATGCATCGAGCGAAAGGATTTTTTTTACCTACTGGGTCGGTTCCGCTGCTTGTTGGCTTTTAGTCCTCAAATGCGTGTGTACTGGCATGATTTTTCTGAATGATATATGTACATTTTATGGCAAACTTTTAATTTATTAATGGTATGGGTCTTGCTCATTGTTGAAGGACGTAAGGTGACCTATATATAGTTGCTAACTTCTTCGTCATTTGGTCTCTAGTGGAGAATTGTCTCATTGTCAAGCATAAAAAATATTCTTATTTTTATACCAAAATAAAGTTGCACTACCTTCTGGTATTCACATAAGATGTATTCATTTAGCCCATATAGGTTTAATGCTGTGAGCGTATTGCATGTATATTTGTGTCTTTCCAACTTTGGTGTCTCGATTGCTTTTGATGAGATTATACAATTTTATGATATATATTTGGATTTGATATATGCTATCTAAATAATTCTTCTTTTCAAATCGTCAGAAGCGGTTAAGATCTTTTGATGCATGCATGTTTATAGTACCAAACATGAAGGACTTCCGGTTTCGTCTTCGTATTGAACATCCAATCCCGTTTTTGTTAAAACAAGAAAGTTCTGGCGTTGACAGTGTTTAACCACTAATATTTTTCGGGCATTGTATGGTTTTCATGGACTTCTCTGAGCGCATTTTTTTAACGAAACGTTATCCTGTCATATTAAGATAAGATAACTTTATAAAGATAAGATAAGCCAAGAAGAGATAAGATGGTCTTTATCTTAGACGCAGAAGGTCCGTATTAATAAACAGTGTTGTGTGTCTACACAAGAATATTCAAAACACTAATTTATTAAAGTAAGTTATAAATTGACATATTATTATCATTATATCCTATTCTTAACAAAGTCGAATTATATAATTAGTCATTGGTGAACATTTGCAAAATAATTCGATGCCACTTTTATGCAACCTAGTAGACTAAACATTAACTTTCGTATAACATGCAATATGACCGAAGAATTGAATCGTTACATGAATATAACACTTTATGTGGATTTTTTTATTGGCTAAATTAGTATTTATTGTATTCCTAGTACGCATTTGAGTTGTAGATGTAGTTTGAGGCAGCACGGGGATATTCTTCTAACTTGGATTGAAATTTGATGAGTATGTTTATTTATTTTTTGAAATAAGCTAAATTTTACTAAAGAAATTCAAAACAAAGGTAAAATATTTTTCTCTCTTTCATGTTTTTTTTTTTTATCTTGTTAAATGAAAAAAAAATACAAGAATTTTTCACAATTTTTAGGCATTGACACCACAAAACTAACTAGCGATTGTTCCCAAATAATATTCTTATTTACATTATTACACTCCAACGGCACAGAAAGAAAATTCAACGGGTGCTAAGGTAAGTCCTAATTTTCCTTTTATTGTCGGCAAATGGTCGATATCGGTAGCATTAAGTTTAACCTTTGTATAAGTATTATTAAAATAGGAAAAATTCCATTCTGGCCAATGACTCGCCAAGACAAACTCTTCTTCCTAAAACAAAGATACCATAAGAAGGTTAAAATCAATTTTTCAAAGTAAAATTAAACTTTCTTTAAAAAAAATCTTGCAAAAATATAGCAGTTATCGTGCATTTTGTATCCTATAGAGAAACCTATTTATCATTGTACCTTTTCTTAAACTAACCTCCTAAGTTATTAAACGTTGAAACTGGTGTAAAAGACCAAAAGTACATTCTCAATAAAAAACTCAATTTAGGCCAGAACCAAAACATGAAATGAAAAGACTGCTTGAAAAAAATAATCTTAATTTAGTTACGGATTGTGTCGAACAATTAAAAGATTGCTTAAAACAAAAATAAAATCTTTTGGTTACGGATTGAAGTGGTTGAAAGACTGCCTAAAATAAAACAAAAAATCTTTATTTACGAGTTCAGGTTGGTAAAAGACTGCTGAAACTAACAAGAAAATCTTTAGCTACGGTTTGATGTGGGTGTTGTAAATGTGTGTATTGGTTATTTCCAAGTAAAGAAATATTGTTATTATTGTATTAAGAGAGTCTATATGAGTTGTCAGAAGTTATTTCTAGTATTTCTAGTATATTAAATGAGTAATTAACGTACGTTTTACTTTATGTTATTAGATGTATCGATAACGTCATATATGGCGCAAATTTGTCATGTATTACTCAGAACGTTACCGTTGGGTTAATATTGTAATCGTGAACCCAAAAGTATTCATTTGTGAGCTCTCAACTGGAAGAAATAATATGTCTTGACTGTTTTAGTAACAAAAGTGTATTATTATAAGCATTTTGAGTCGAGGACTTGTATATTTTATGTCAGCATTTGACGTTATGTTTTTCTTCCTGCTTAGAATATTTACTTCCGGGAATTTCAAATAAATACCTGTGCAACGTCACGTTCGTCAGTCTTTGCTGTTTTTACATTTGGCTTGCAGCAAGGCTCAGCCCGGGGGTTCCTAGAGGTGAGAAGCAGCGCATTTAGCTGTATGCCTCGCAGTTTATATTACAAGAAAGGGTCGTAGCTTATAGGTAAGAAGCAGCGCAGATAGCTGTATGCCTTGCATTTATTTACGTTGTCATTGTAGAATTTATTAAGATAATCCCGTTTGGTCCGTACAAAAATACAAGAGAAAGAATGTTATTTTAGTAGCTCCGCCCCGTATGTAAATTATATAATTGTTGCTCGAATATTGTACATGTATGGAAATATATCGGCTGTTCTAGAAGTTTAATAAAAGTATCATTTTCTACTATTGATTATTTATTCACGCTACCAATGAGAGAGAGAACAGACAACAGATTTGACGGCCGTATTTATTTATCCCTTAGTTTAGTCACAAGTTTTGTGAGTTTATTCGTATTTGCTGGCTTTAAAACTATACAAAAACATAGCAAGAAGCAGAAATTACGACAAATTGAGGTAGGTAAAAGACTG